GTTTCTAAATGGTGACTCGAGTTTTAGTCTTGCTGTGTATAATCACTTGCCAGAAATTTAAGCAGAACATCTTTCTATGAAGCCTTTTCAACCTTAGTCATGCAATAATGACCATTCCAACCGTCTTGCTGAGTTATTTTCCCATCAATGCTTATTTATTTGATGTCTCCAACATCCTTGAGTTTCCTTTCATAGTCATGTTTTATGGAGTCCACTTATATTTTGTTTTCTTTTTAAAGCGTTCATTTTTAACAAGCTTAGTAAGTTTTAGCTTGAAGGAGAATATAAGAGATCTCATCATATCTTGAGAGAAATTTATAATATCTTAGTATATCTTCAGAATACATTTATAATATCTTGGAATATCTCTAGAATATATTCTCGAATCAATTATTCATCTAATTGAGGAAGCAATCAGTTGAAGAAGAAAGGATAATATTATATTGAATTGTATATAATACAAACAAGAGGATACAATATATAGAAGCCTAATGGACTTAAAGGAATAAACCCAAAAAACTAAAAGGAAAGAAATCCTAAGAAGAAAAAGAAACAAATAATTACGGAAAGAAAAGGAAACAAATACAATTATTTACAACACAATCTTAAGAATGGTTTCCCAATTTCATTACATTTCCTAATTTGTTTCCTTATTTAATTAGGGTTAGTAGTCTTACAATATATGTGGGCTGGGGCTTGTACCAGTAGTATTAACCTAATTATATCAGTATAAATAGGACCATCAAGTTAGTTTTTTATAACACTATATCAATTTAATATTTTATTATTCTAAGTCTCTATTGTCTCTTTTCCTCCTTTCCTACCTAAACCCTACAATTCAAACGATACTAAACCCAACATGATGTAGAGGGGAGCCTGCTCGAAAAGCAATACAGTTAAGAGGGGAGAGTTTGTACGCTAAATAGGATTTTGTACCTCAGACTGAGGCAACACGGGACTCACATTCATTGGACAACAATGTTGGGTTGGAAAGAGCGGTCAATCTATACCAGGGGGCGGACAAACCATGCCCTGATACCAACTGATGTACAGGATAACCCATTCCTCAAAGCCAGATTGTTATGGAGGGAGCTCCTCTATTTTAAATAGGAGTTCTGTGTCTCACACCAATCCAATGTAGAACTCGTGCTTCTGTATCACAGCAACAACAAATCAATTTTTTTCTCGTTCCCTTGACAAACCTGATCCCTCTTTGCAGATAGCACAACACATATCAAGCATCATTGATGAGTTCACCCTTGCCTAATTCGGAACATGCAAAGTCTAGAAACTTACCCGAATTCTTTTGAACCTTCTAATGCGGTTGGTGAAAACCAAAAGTTTTCAGCATAGCCTTTGTACTAAGGTAAGAACTTCACCAGAAGCCACTAATAAACCAAAAAAGAAAGGTCAATAGTAAGATCTGTTTTGTAGTTTGGTTCTTGTAAAAGAAAAAAGGGCGGAGAGAGAGAGAGATACAGGATCAGCTCACTGGTTACTTTCAACCCAGTAAGCTGAGTGTCTAGAAGAAAATCAGGAGCTTGTCAGGAAGCGCAGATTTAGGAACCAACGAACTTCAATCATAGCCAGACTGGTACAGTCAAAAATTGAGCAAAGTGCTGCCAAAATGATGAGCAAAGGTGGATTGGGACAGCACATGACTGCATAGAAAGGTTGAACCACTGGAGCCGTGGAGAAGAAATGTAGAAACATGGGGAAGACAATAAAAGAAAAGAATCAGGAAAAGAAGAGGTGGCAAGACGCTTAAGCAGGGCTATTAGAAACACCAGTACTCTGCCTGCCACCTCTGCAAATATTTGATGGACTTATAACAGCAGGTGATAGCAAGGACCTAAATAAAAATGGAAAGAACTGACAGGCAACCAATTACCAAAAAAAAGTTAAGTGTATGGACCGTTAGAGATATTAGGGTTGTTACTAGTGGGCTTGGGCTTGGGCTTGTGCTAGCATTACTAGTATTGGACCTCTTAGTATAAATAGGAGTATTAGTCAAGGTATTACATCATATTTTGTAGAATATTCTAGATTATCATTTATTACTTCCTTGCTATTTGTTCCCTTATTTATTAATGTCTCTTGTTATTGTAAATAAGCCTCTTAGTTTAATGTTGCTATTTATTAGCATTGTTCTTTGTACTCAATATAAATAGGACCTATTGGGTCTCTCAATGTAATCAATCAATAGTGATATACAGAAAAAACACTCTTTCTTTTTCATCATGGTATCAGAGCATGAAAATTTTTAAAAGTGGATGTCGCATCAGACTTGTCTTTTAAGAGATATGCCCAACATACCCTAGAATGATCATCAATGAAAGTAATAAACCAACGAGCACCCGAGACATTTTTTTCACGAGCAGGTCCCCAAATATCACTATGAATCAATGTAAAGAGAGAAGATTCATGATATTTCTTAGGAGAATAAGTGACACGAGAATGTTTTGCAAGCTGACAAATATCACAAAGACAACTTGGCTTTTTATTGATAAATAAGTTAGGGAATAACTTCTGAAGATAAACAAAATTTGGGTGCCCTAACCTACGATGCCATAACAAAACATCATTACAATCATCTGATAAACATAGAGAGTGGTTTGAAAAAATCCTCCTTTCACAAAGATCCTCCTCCAAATAGTATAGCCCTTCTTCCTCTCTTGATGTGTTTTGCGCCTGCTGTAGAATTTTCCCCATTTACCAGGAGGATCACAAGGACTGGGAGGATCATTAGACTCAGGTATAGTTGCTCCCCCTGTTTTCTTCCCAATAACTCCCCCTGTTTCCAAAGGCCAAGGTAAGACAGCAGCTTCATTTGGTTTCCCAGGCTTATCTTCATCAATACCAGTAGACTCCCCCTGAAGAGAAGTCGGGGAAAAAAAGGATTGTGTCTCATAAAAGGTAACATCCATGGAAACAAAGACCTTACGGAGAGAAGGTGAGTAACACTTATAGCCTTTTTGATTAGGGGAATATCCTATGAAGACACACCTAATAGATTTAGGGTCAAGTTTGGACCTTTGATGTGGAGGAATATGTACAAAGACCACACAACCAAATATTTTTGGAAGAAGAGAAAGAGCACAGAAAGAAGAAAAAGATTTAGTAAGACAAGATAAAGGAGAATGAAAATTTAGTACCCGAGAAGGCATTCGATTAATGAGATAAGAAGCTGTCAAGATGGCTTCCCCCCACAGATATTTAGGGACATGCATCGTGAATAAGAGAGCTCGAGCAACTTCAATTAGATGTCTATTTTTCCTTTCAGCCACCCCATTTTGTTGAGGGGTGTTAGGACAAGAACTTTGATGAATAATTCCATGCTGGTTTAGGTAATCTCCAAGAACAGAATTAAAATATTCAGTGCCATTGTCTGTTCGCAGAATATTCAGTGTTTACATGGATCCACCTCCTGGTTTTGAAAAAGGGGATGGTTCTGTGTGCAAGTTGCAGAAGTCTCTCTATGGACTTAAACAATCTCCCAGAGAATGGTTTGGGAAATTTACTCAAGCTGTTAAGGGAAGAGGGTTCACCCAAGCTCAGACTGATCACACTTTATTCTTTAAACACTCTGACAAGGGTAGAATTGTTATCCTCATTGTTTATGTTGATGACATAATTGTCACTGGTAATGATACCGAGGAGATAGCCTCTTTAAAAAAATGTTTAGCTGATCAGTTTGAACTAAAAGATCTTGGATCTCTCAAATACTTCCTTGGCATGGAAGTTGCTCGAAGTAAGGAAGGAATTTCCTTAACTCAGAAAAAATACATTCTAGACCTGTTGCAAGAAACAGGTATGCTTGGGTGCAAGCCAGCAGAGACTCCAATTGAAGCTAATATCAAGATGGGAGTTGAGGACAGGGAAGATGTTGATAAGGAGCAGTACCAGAGACTAGTGGGGAAATTAATCTATTTGTCTCACACTCGTCCTGATATTGCTTTTGTTGTGAGCATGGTTAGCCAATTCATGCATTCTCCTAAGGAAAAACACCTTAGTGTTGTTTATAGAATTCTCAAGTACCTCAAAAACACCCCTGGTCGAGGAATTCTCTTTAAAAAGGGGAACAAAAGGATGATTGAAGTTTATACAGATGCAGACTGGGCTGGCTCTGCAATGGACCGAAGATCTACTTCAGAATATTGTACTTATGTATGGGGAAACCTTGTGACCTAGAGAAGTAAGAAACAAACTGTTGTTGCAAGAAGCAGTGCAGAAGCGGAATTTCGGGCTTTAGGCCATGGTATTTGTGAAGGAATTTGGTTAAGAAGGCTTCTGGAAGAGTTGAAGATCTCTTATTCCCTACCTATCAGATTATATTGTGATAATAAAGCTGTTATCAGCATTGCTCAAAATCCTGTCCATCATGACAGAACAAAACATGTGGAAGTCGATCGTCACTTTATCAAAGAAAAATTAGAAGACGGTAGTGTATGCTTGTCATATATACCTACCAAGGAACAAACGGCAGATATTCTCACCAAAGGTTTACTTAAGCCGACCTTTGAGGATTTGATCAGCAAGTTGGGAATGATCAATATATATCTCCCAACTTGAGGGGGAGTGTAGAATATTCTAGATTATCATTTATTACTTCCTTGCTATTTGTTCCCTTATTTATTAATGTCTCTTGTTATTGTAAATAAGCCTCTTAGTTTACTGTTGCTATTTATTAGCATTGTTCTTTGTACTCAATATAAATAGGACCTATTGGGTCTCTCAATGTAATCAATCAATAGTGTTATACAGAAAAACACTCTTTCTTTTTCATCATATTTACATCCTGTCAATAGTATTTTCATTTTTCAGTTTATTAGTCTAGATCGTTTCTCTTTTCTTTCTCTGACCCTAAACTTATAATTCTTTAAGATGTACCAAATTTAAAATCCAAGTAAAACTATAGGGACTAAATGATTACATAAAACGAAAAATATGTCAAATCAAGCTACTGTTAGAGTATAAGCCCTGTTAGTAAAAAGGTTTACCTCATCAAATTGCAGTTAGGGAACATGTGTAGAGCTTTTCTGAGGTGGACAACTCCACTCTGAACTTTAAGGCAGCAATCAGACTCATTTTTCACCTGTCAAAACCATACCATAACACTTTTTCATCTTGCCTTCATGTTGTGGGGAATGAAGGAGGAGGAGACAGGAGGAAGCAAAATTAAGAGGCTAAAAAAATACCAGTTTACCGAGCGCTATTAAAAAGTGCATCCTGGCAAATTCTTCATGATATTTGAGAAATAATCGGCTACTTGAGACAACAAATCCAAGACGATTGTGTGCATCAAGAGCATTGATAGCTGACATAACAAAACTAACTTTTGAGCTTTGAAATAGCTCCTTCGGCATTTTCATAATGCTAGTGATGACTGCATCCAGTCCACTTATGGAGTATACTAATCTACAGATGAAACAAATGGATGGTGCAATAGATGTCTTTTCCATAGAAGAAAGACTTGCAGCAAGACTTTTAGCTACAGAGAGAGCCAAATCATTTTCACCAAGTTGCCACAACGAGAAAGCATATACTTGTAAACCTTCTTCATCAAGTGCCCCTTAAACAATATATCACACAAAAAGTGTTAACAAGACGAGAAGTGAAAATACATTTTCATACCATGCTCAGCCAAAACATCCTTCACAAAAAATCATAGGTTATAAAACAAAAAGCAAAGCATCCCCAAATCACGTTTTACATGCGACAGCTCACATGAATATACAGCGACGGGCATCCATTTACTTCATAATTCATTCTTAGGAATTACGAACAGAACAGTGGAAAATTTATAGTGAATAAAAATAATTTTAGTAATAGAGTGATTTAACATTCAATGAATCTCAACAATAAGGCTTTAAGTTTTGAAGAAAAAACAATTAAATTGAAGAACTCTAAACAGGTTGAAGAAAAGAAGAAGTGGAAGAAGTGTTTTATCTGAATAATACTTTCTTGATTCATTGAGAGACCCAATGAGTCCTTTTTATATTGAGTACATCCAACTACCTCAACTACTTTAATAAATATACAACCACCAACTACATCAATAAATATACAACTACCAACTACATCAATAAATACTATCTAGAATATTCTACATATTCTACACTCCCCCTCAAGTTGGGAGATATATATTGATCATTCTCAACTTGCTGATCAAATTCTCAAAGGTCGGCTTAAGTAATCCTTTGGTGAGGATATCCGCCGTATGTTCCTTGGTAGGTATATATGTCAAGCATACACTACCGTCTTCTAATTTCTTTTTGATAAAGTGACGATCAACTTCCACATGTTTTGTTCTGTCATGATGAACAGGATTTTGAGCAATGCTGACAGCAGTCTTATTATCACAATATAATCTGATAGGTAGGGAATAAGAGATCTCCAGCTCCTCCAGAAGCCTTCGTAACCAAATTCCTTCACAAATACCATGGGCTAGAGCCCGAAATTCCGCTTCTGCACTGCTTCTTGCAACAACAGTTTGTTTCTTACTTCTCCAGGTCACAAGGTTTCCCCAGACATAAGTACAATATCCTGAAGTAGATCTTCGGTCCATTGCAGAGCCAGCCCAGTCTGCATCTGTATAGATTTCAATCATCCTTTTGTGCCCTTTTTAAAGAAAATTCCTCGACCAGGGGTATTTTTGAGGTATTTGAGAATTCTATAAACAGCACTAAGGTGTTTTTCCTTAGGAGAATGCATGAATTGGCTAACCATGCTCACAGCAAAAGCAATATCAGGACGAGTGTGAGACAAATAGATTAATTTTCCCACTAGTCTCTGGTACTGCTCCCTATCAACATCTTCCCCGTCCTCAACTCCCATCTTGATATTAGCTTCAATTGGAGTCTCTGCCGGCTTGCACCCAAGCATACCTATTTCTTGCAACAGATCTAGAATGTATTTTTTCTGAGTTAAAGAAATTCCTTCCTTACTCCGAGCAATTTCCATGCCAAGGAAATATTTGAGAGATCCAAGATCTTTTAGTTCAAACTGGTCAGCTAAACATTTTTTTAAAGAGGTTATCTCCTCGGTATCATTACCAGTGACAATTATGTCATCAACATAAACGATCAGAATAGCAATTCTTCCTTTGTCGGAGTGTTTAAAAAATAAAGTGTGATCAGTCTGAGCTTGGGTGAACCCTCTTCCCTTAACAGCTTGAGTAAATTTCCCAAACCATTCTCTGGGAGATTGTTTAAGTCCATAGAGAGACTTCTGCAACTTGCACACAGAACCATCCCCTTTTTCAAAACCAGGAGGTGTATCCATGTAAACTTCCTCATGGAGATCACCATTCAAGAAGGCATTCTTAACATCTAACTGTTGCAATGGCCAATCAAGGTTGGCGGCAAGAGATAGCAGAACGCGGATAGTGTTAAGTTTGGCAACATGAGCAAATGTCTCCTGATAATCTATCCCATGAGTCTGAGTAAATCCCTTAGCAACTAATCTGGCCTTATACCTATTGATGCTATTGTCTGCATTGAATTTTATTGTGAACACCCACTTGCAACCAACAGTTTTCTTTCCTTTAGGTAATGTCACAAACTCCCATGTTCCATTTTTTGTAAGTGCATCCATTTCTTCTAATACTGCATTCCTCCATTTTAGGTCATCAAGTGCTTCTTGGATATTTTTGGGTATCCTGGTACTATCTAACATAGTGTTGAAAGCACGAAAACCTAGAGACAACTTTTCATATGAGATATAATGGGAAATAGGATGAGCAGTGCAAGATCTAATACCTTTCCGAAGAGCAATAGGCATATCAACGTTGGTTATACTAGTACATTCAAGTGGGTTGCTGGCACAAGGACTCGAGTCAGGATCCTGGCAGTCTAGAGTATCTTCATGTGTTTTGCGGCTGCTGTAAAATTTTTCCCATTTACCGGGAGTATCACAAGGAGGATCATTAGATTCAGGTATAGTTGCTCCCCATGTTTCCTTCCCAATAACTCCACCTGTTTCCAAAGGCCAAGGTAAGACAGCAACATCATTTGGTTTCCCAGGCTTATCTTCATCCATACCAATAGACTCCCCCTGAAGAGAAGTCGGGGAAAAAAAGGATTGTGTCTCATAAAAGGTAACATCCATGGAAACAAAAACCTTACGAAGAGAAGGTGAGTAACACTTATAACCTTTTTGATTAGGGGAATATCCTATGAAGACACATCTGATGGATTTAGGGTCAAGTTTGGACCTTTGATGTGGAGGAATATGCACAAAAACCACACAGCCAAATATTTTGGGAGGAAGAGAAGAAAGAGCACTGAAAAAGGGAAAAGATTTAGTAAGACAGGATAAAGGAGAATGAAAATTTAGTACACGAGAAGGCATCCGATTAATGAGATAACAGGCTGTCAAGACGGCTTCCTCCCACAGGTATTTAGGGACATGCATCGTGAATAAAAGAGCTCGAGCAACTTCAATTAGATGTCTATTTTTCCTTTCACCCACCCCATTTTGTTGAGGGGTGTTAGGACAAGAACTTTGATGAATAATTTCATGCTGGTTTAGGTAATCTCCAAGAACTGAATTAAAATATTCAGTACCATTGTCTGTTCGCAGAATTTTGATAGAAGTCTGAAATTAAGTTTGAATCATAGCATGAAAGTTTTTAAAAGTGGATGCTGCCTCAGACTTATCTTTTAAGAGATATACCCAACATACCCTAGAATGATAATCAATGGAAGTAATAAACCAACGAGCACCCGAGACATTTTTTTCACGAGCAGGTCCCCAAATATCACTATGAATCAATGTAAAGGGAGAAGATTCTTGATATTTCTTAGGAGAATAAGTGACACGAGAGTGCTTTGCAAGCTGACAAATATCACAAAGAAGGGAACTTGGCTTTTTATTGATAAATAAGTTCGGTAATAACTTCTGGAGATATACAAAATTTGGGTGTCCCAACCTACGATGCCATAACAAAACATCATTACAGTCATCTGATAAACATAGAGAGTGGTTCGAAAAAATCCTCTTTTCACAATGAACATCTGTAAAATAGTATAGCCCTTCTTCCTCTCTAGCACTGTCAATCATCATCCCCGAGTCTTGTTCTTGAAAGATACAAGCATTTGCAGAGAACTTAGCAACACAATGCAACTCAGCAGTAAGTTTGCTAATAGAGATGAGATTACAAGTAAGAGAGGGAACATGAAGTACTGAGTTCAAAATAATATGCTCAGAAAGTTTAATGGATCCCTTTCCCGCAATAGTGGAGAAATTCCCATCAGCTGTTCTTATTCGTGACGGGTGATAGTAAGGGGTATAGGAGAAAAATAAGGTTGCATTACCTGTCATGTGATCAGAGGCCCCTGAATCAAGGATCCAACGATTACTACGTTCAACATGGAATGCCATACCTTTTTGAGCAACATGACTAGTTGCCTCAGCAGATTGAGACATCAATTTCTGAAAAGACGAATTTTCAAAATTTTCAACGTCCATGGTTTTCTAACAACAGGTACCCAAAAAAAGGTTCCTCCAAATACGATTTTGACCCTCAGAACAGGAAGAGGGTTGCTCGCAAAAATCAATGAATAAGAGCAATCTTGGCTACAGTGAAACAGTAATTGCTACAGTAATGAACAGTACTGCTACAGGTCTTCTGTGGGCTGGCTCAGAATCTTGTTCTGAACCTAATGGTGGCCTTGGTTTCGTGGTTGGAGGTGTCTAGGTAAGGATTCTGGCTTGGGCAGTGGCTAAAACGAAAAAAAATGGAATAGGAAAATGACTTAAAATTAAATCAGAACGGGGAAGAGACTGGAATATAACCAGCTCTTGATACCATGAAGAAAAGAAGAAGTGGAAGAAGTGTTTTATCTGAATAATACTTTCTTGATTCATTGAGAGACCCAATGGGTCCTTTTTATATTGAGTACATCCAACTACCTCAACTACTTTAATAAATATACAACCACCAACTACATCAATAAATATACAACTACCAACTAAATATACAACTACCAACTATATCAATAAATACTATCTAGAATATTCTACATATTCTACACAGGTAAATTGCAAAATCTGAATCTGAACCTTCTTTCTTCAAATTTTCACATTCCTGCAAAGCATCAACTGCATTCCCTGCCTGTATCAAATGATATGAGTTAGTGAAAGTCATTAAAGAATTTGAATAAAAAAAATAAGACTAAGAGATCTCTAGTATATTTACTTTAGAAAGTGATCTGGCCAAATTGATTGATACGTCCCTGATATGTGAGTTTTGAATATTCCATGATCCAATATTAATTGCATGACGTGCTAATCTATAAAAAGTAGCAGCAGACTTATAATCTTTTCGAACCTCACAAACCAGCCCATGTAAATTATGGGATTCAGGATAGTGAGGAGAAAGCTGCACTGCCTGCTGAATAGCTCCAAAAACCTGTGACGAATAAATGCAGCATGGGCATGAATTTAAAGGTAGGCAGCTGCTTCAGAAGAGGCAAAATAAAATGTGTAATCACCACAGGAAATCACTAATCTACTATATAAGCTAACCTGTGAAGATGAAAGATGACCACTCAGCAAAGCAAGCTTAGCGAGCCCAATTTGGAATTCAGCTAACTGCACAGTAATCAACAAATATTTTAAAGAAAGTAATATGAATTTAAATTTAGCCAGAGAAAAGTACTTGGCTAAAGTAATGCCCTTTAAATCTATGAAACAAGTAAAACCATTCCCCATTAAACCCATTCCAACTTGTGAGGAAAGGGTGAGGAAATCTTTATACGCAACTTTACCCTTACAATTTGCAAGGAGGCTATTTCCAAGATTATCACCTATGACCTGTCGGTTACCAAGGAGCAGCTTTACCACTGCTCCAGGCTCACCCTCGTAAATCTATGAAACAAGTATTGAGAGGGAAATCCCTTTGACACACTGATAAGGGCTAGACTCCAATGCCGCCCCTGATAATAATACCCAAACACAACAAATATGCGGTAATGATAAATAAACTCCAAACCCTAACAGTAGAACAATATAAACAAAAAAAAGTCCAATAAATTGCATGTTACATGACAGAAATGAGTAAATTACAGGCATTATCTGCACAGCTCGTGAACAGCTTTCAAATGCCTCATCTGGTGCAGGCTCCCTACAATATAAAGACAGAATATAGTCAGAAAAATCAGCAAAATAATAGACAAGCTAAACTAATATTTACATGCTACATGATAATGAAAAAATAAATGAAATTAGAATTATACCTCACACAACACTCAGCTGACATGCTTGCCCATGGCAATGCGAGGCCTGGGTCAATACTTCTAGCACGATCAAACAATTGTCGTGCCAATTGCTTTTCACCCACTTTACAATACAGCTGAAAAAGTTAGACAAACTTACACCAGTTGGGAAATCCAAATCCGCACAAACAATTTTTTATGTCTTTCAATATGATGATGTGCATTAAAAAAGTAACAAAGGTGCAGAGGTTGCCATGTTAACAAACCCATGCATAAATTATTATAGACACCCACCCAATATCTAAGGTGTATATTAGGAGAAAATGGTGGGGTAGCAGGGACTCACTCCCTCTTGTAGGCAAGGGGTACAAGGTGAAAATATTTCTTAATTACCTACACGTGGCATGTGATGAGGAAAGCAGGAAGACAATTTGGGTAGGATACAAAGAAGGGTAAGGAGAGAAAGGAGGAGGAAAGCATTAATTGAGAGAAAAAGGGAATGGATATTCTAAAGTAACCAATTCAACTCAACAACTTAAACTGAAAGTCATATTAATGGTTTTATATTATATTTCTATAACATATACCCTCCCACAAGGACTTATTGGGCACGAAGGGTGGATAATGTACAGGACCACCTAACTGTGCTAAGAAATTCCACAATATTTATTTGGAGAATATTATAAGAATGGGAAGCGGCAAGAATCAAACTCTGGACTACTTGGTCACAGAGGTTATGATACCATGTAAAGTAATTAATTCAACCCAATAACTTAAGCTATTAGTTGAAGGCCACATTGATGGTTTTATTATATTTCTGTAATATATATTTTTTTTAATTTAAAAGCACAACTTATTAATTAATTTTGATCATACACCAATTCTCTGATTTTAAGGCCACATTGCCATGACATCCTGACTCTATATATTTGCTAATAACACTAGCAACTGAAATTTGATGTAAAACTTTAACAACAGTTACAGCAGAAGTAATCAAAGCAACCCTGTGAACAGTCATAGCAATAGGAACAACATTCATTGATGACATTGTCTTGTGCATCATCCCAGCTTTGTATTCAAATGATTCTGCTGGAGTTGGTTCCATTTTCATTGACACTCTCTCTCTTTTTCTCTGTCTTTCATGCTATCTCGCTATAAAGGAATATGAAAAGTGAAGCAAGGCACTGAAATTGAAAAGGCAGGAATCTAGAAACAAATGCATGTGAATGCACCTCGTCACAAGGTCAAGCTGTTAAAAAACCCAAAAGAATCAAATGTCATTCTTAATTTCTGATTCCCAACAACTTAAGCTGTTAATAATGGTATAGACTAAAGGTTCTGTGCATCTGCAGAACTTTAGATTTATCTTTTTTTTTTCCTGCTCTCTCAGAGATTATCTCTCACTGTTAGGAGATAGTCTCCATTGTTTCTTATTAGCAAAATTAGTTTCTGATGGGTCTGAGGTAACATTGATGGGCCTGATTTAATTAGTTAGTTAGGAAATTGTTCTAGAATATTCTGAGAGTTAGAATAAAAGAGAGTGAGTGTATGTAGTGAGGAGGCATGAATTGAGAATTGGTTTAGTGGGGAAATTGGGGATCTCTAGGAAACTCTTGGAGCCTAGGTATGTTGGCTTTGAGAGGGAGTTGAGGTCTTTGGGTTTATCTTTTCTACATTGTCATTGTTATTCCTTTTGTATTTGCTTTGTTTGTATTCACTGTTTGATTCAGTTGTAATTCCTTATCACAGTGTGATAGGTTGGAGTCAGTAATTAGGAATTCTATATGGCTTAAGTTAATTGAAGAATATCATGAGATGTCTTTCAGTTCATCTATAGTTGTACTCTGTTTATTGTGATTTCCATTACTGTCTAGTATTATATATGCATAGGTGCCATCAATTTGGTATCAGAGCACTTCCGATCTAGAGGGTGCTTTCTGGTCCAGATCTAAAAAAAAAATGGAATACAGATTGACGAAGGTTGAGAGAAGCTTTGATCGTATGGAAGAAAGAATGGATGGAGTGGAAGACGCTTTTCGTCAACTTCAGGAAACAATGCTAACGTTAATAGACCGCATCGATCCGTGTTTTGCAGAAGAACTAAAAGCGAGAAAAAGCTTGAAAGATGAAGGAAAAGAAGATGGTAGCACTGCAAAAGAAGAGACAGAAGAAATCAGAACAAGAGGAATCAAAAAAAGAGGTAGAGGATAAAGAAAGTAGCGAAGCAGAAGACAAAGAAGAAGTAGAAGAAGCGGACGAAAAAGATAGAAAAGTGGTTGAAAAAAAAGAACAGCAAAGGGAACAAGGGCATGAGAAGAAGCAACCACAAAAAAAGCACGTGAAGCAGAGGGTAGAAGAAAGAGAAAAGGTTAGAGTGGGTCAGATTTTTTCTAGGTCAATTGGAGGTGGGGCGGGGCACCATTCACCACCAGCTTTGGCCCATCAAGACAGCACATGGACTGGGCCCAATGCTTCCAGCAATGAGGTGCAAAATAGGCAGGGAACTAATCAATTTGGGCCCAATTAGGTGGGAGCCCAAACTCAAGCTAATGAAAGGAATGGGTCCAATTCTAGGATTCCAATTTCTGTTCGTGAAGCAAGACACAACAATGGAGAAGGGCGAAGGGCGCTGGGAGGAGTTGCAACATAGGATGGCGGGCAAAGAGGATGCCATGGTTTGCGAATTCGCTGCCGAACACAAGAGGAGGGGGACGATCAAAGAAGGCACAATTTTTCTTTCAGGTGTGGTTTTTTTTTCTTGTTCCTGGGCATGTCTATCAACTCTCATTTGCGTGTGATGATTCTGGATAAGGATAGGGAGAAACTGTACCATGAAGAGGGGATACATGGCTGGAATTTCATATCAATATACTCTATTCTTTGGCCAGAAACACCACAAAAAACAGAGAATGGGGACAATAGAATTATACACCGTTCTGTGGCCAAGAAGGACACAGAAAATAGGGCACTAGCGAGCAACAAGGGCATAATGATTTGTAAGGATGCAGCAAAAACCACTGGTGTGTGCTTTAAACAATGGGACCCAGGTGGAAATTCCTCTCACATTATCTGCCTTTTCTCTTCACCTTGAGGACAAGATGAATTTTTGAGAGGCAGTATTGATGGGCCTGAGTTAATTAGTTAGTTAAGAAATTGTTCTAGAATATTCTGAGTTAGAATAAAAAGGAGTGAGTGTGTGTAGTAAGGATGCATAAATTGAGAATTGGTTTAGTGGAAAAATTGAGGATCTCTAGGAAACTCTTGGAGCCTAGGTATGTTGGCTTGGAGTTGAGGTCTTTGGGTTGATCTTTTCCGTATTGTCATTGTTATTCCTTTTGTATTTGCTTTGTTTGGATTCACTGTTTGATTTAGTTGCAATTCCTTGTCACAGTGTGATAGGTTGGAGTCAGTAATTAGGAATCTATCACTGGAATTCTGTATGGCTTGAGTTAATTGAAGAATATCATGAGATGTCTTTTAGTTCATCTATAGTTGTACTCTGTTTTATTGTGATTTCCATTACTGTCCAGCATTATACACGCATAGGTGCCATCAGTTTCGAATAAATTAGTATCAGAGCTACAGATCTAGGAGTTGCGGATACTGAATTTAAACGTGATTCCAATGTTTACAGCATAAAAAACCTATGGATAGATTATCAGTATTGAACACCATTTATGGAGAGGGAATGCATGGTAGAGAGAAGCATCAGCAGTTGTCTGGGCTGAGAGGTTGCATTCTCAGTTGGTGGTAAAGAACTTTAGAATTTGAGAACTGTTCTTTTTATTTTCTCTGAATATCAGACCTTGATGAAAGTACATTGATATATAGATAGATGACTTCACAACTAATTTAGTCATCATATCTTCAGAAGATAAAGATAAAATCCTAAACACTAGAAAACAAAATCTTAATCAACAAACAGATTAAATAAGCTCTAAGATAAAACAAACTAAACAAACTTCAAACAGACTAAAAAACAAATCTAACTAGTTATCAGAATTCTAATTAATAACAGCAACACAGATAATGATCAACATAAATCTAATCTTCATGATTCGCATATCTTGTTCTCTAACAACACTCCCCCCTCAAGCTGGACGATAGATACCTAGCATACCAAGCTTGTTAAACTCTTCGAACTTAGCTCTTGAAAGGGACTTGGTTAGAATGTCTGCAACCTGACTTCCTAATGAGACATATTGAAGACTAATGATCTTGGACTCAATCTTTTCTTTGATCAAATTTCTATCAATTTTCACATGCTTGGTTCTGTCATAATGAATAGGATTATTTATAATCCTTATAGTGGCCATATTCTCGCACAAAATTTTCATAAGGAGTTCACGATTGAGATATAGTTCCTTAAGGAACCGTACAATCCACATTCCTTCACATGTTCCTAAGGCAAGTGCCCTATATTCGGCTTCAGCACTACTTCTAGCAACTACTAGCTGTTTTTGCTTCTCCAGGTGACCAAGTTGCCCTAAACATATGTACAATACCCTATTGTGGACCTTCTATCAACTACCACTCCGGCCCAATCAACATCGGTGTAAATGGTGATATCTCGTTTATTAGTTTTCTTGAAGTACAATCCTTTTCCTGATGTCATCTTTAAGTACCTCAAGATCTTGTACACTGCGCCTCCAAGTGTTCTTGATTTGCATTATTCATAAATTGACTCACTACACTAACAGAGAAACTTATATCTAGCAGAGTATGAGTTAAGTAGATCAATTTTCCAACAAGTCGTTGATATCTTCCCGTGTCAACCGGGGAACTCTCTTGTTTGATCCCTACTTTGTAATTAGCTTCCATGGGAGTAACCGTGGGTTTGCAGCCTAGCATCCCAGTCTCTTCTAGAAGATCAAGCGTATATTTTCTTTGAGAAACTAAAATACCTTTGCTTGTTCTAGCAACCTCCATGCCAAGAAAATAATGAAGTTTGCCTAGATCCTGCACTTCAAACCTTTCGGCCAAAACACCCTTCAATTTGTTTATGTCATTAAACCAATCACCGATAATTATGATGACACCAACATAAACAATTAAGATTGTGTAAATCAATCTTAACAAATGAAGTGTGATCAGTTTGGCATAGCCTGTATCCTTTGGACTTGAACTTGACCACAGATGTGAACTTGTCAAACCATGCTCTTGGTGACTATTTGAGACCATATAGCGCTGTAAGTAGTTTGCATACCTTTTTCAGCCCATGACTATGCTCCACACCTTGGGGAATCTTTGTATAGACTTTCTCCTTTAAATCACCATTCAAGAAAGCATTTTTTACATCCATTTGCCAAAGAGGCCAATCCTGACAGGCTGCAATTGACAATAATACCTTAATAGAATTGAACTTGGCTACGGGGGCAAAGGTCTCTTGGTAATCAATACCTTGAGTTTGAGTGAATCCTTTAGCTGTTAATCGAGCTTTGAAGCGGTTGATACTCCCATCTTCATTATACTTGATGGTGAATATCCATCTAGAGACTTCCCAAGAGGCATATCCACGATCTCCCATGTCCGATTCTTCTCAAGAGCTGTTAGCTCTTCTTTTATAGTAGACCTCCATATCTCTTGGCCTATGACTTCTCCAAATGAAGATGGGACAAATTGCTTATCCACATTTTGAACAAAAACCTGCATCTTAGAGGACAGATTAGCATAAGAAATATAATTGCTTATGACATGTTTGGTACAGCTCCTAACTCCTTTCCTTAAGGCAACTGGCAGCTCCTTGTCGTCTTCACAATTAGGATTTGGAACTAGGGAAGTGTATTCATTTTGTGCTGGACATATGATGGCTTCCGGTGCTGATTCTGCTGCTGGATGAGATCTGGCTTCTGCCTCCGAGAATAAACAAGTATGGATTTTTCACCCATGGCATGATTATCAGGATTTTCTGGAGAATGAAGGTTGGGTATAAATTCTGGCTCAGTTTTTGGTGCAGAAAGAAGGTTTTCTGGTTCAGGTTCTGATAGTTTACTTGCAACCAACCATTCTTGGTTAGTCATGGAAGGAGATACAGGAGCAGGTTCAAGTTCTGATGTTATCTCCCCCTGAATGGTTGGTTTAAGGTAAAAAGGTTGGGTTTCAAAGAAGGTAACATCCATAGTAATGTAGAGACATCTATTGCTAAGGGGCATAGCATTTGTACCCCTTTTGTGCTGATGAATAGCCTATAAACATACACTTGATAGCTCTAGGGTTAAACTTCCCACCTTGATCATAATGTACAAAGATCGTGCAACCAAAAATTTTAGGTGGCAAGTTGGATATAGGTGGCAGTTGTGGGTAAGTGAGGAGGAGTTGTTTGTAAAGGGATAAAAAATTTAAAACTCTAGAAGGCATTCTGTTTATGTGGTAGGTGGCAGAAAGGATGGCTTCCCCCAAAAAATATTTAAATGTATTAGAGGTAAGGATAAGAGATCTAGCAACTTCTAAAAGGTGTCTATTTTTTCTTTCTGCCATCCCATTTTGTTGAGGGGTATGAACACAAGAGCTTTGATGAATGATCCCATTATTTTGGAGTTATATGGTGGGTTCTGCATTAAAATAATCACGAGCATTATTTGATCTCAAGACTTGAATATGGGTTCGAATTTGATTTTGGACCAGCAAGTGAAAGCTCTTAAAGGATCTGGTAACCTCAGATTTGGATTTTAAAAGATACACTCATATCATTCTTGTGTGGTCATCAATAAAAGTAACAAACCACTTTGCCCCATTAATATTCTTTGTAGTTGCAGGACCCCAAACATCACTATGGATGAGAGGAAAAGGTTTGCTAAGATGATATTCTTGAGGAGGATAAGAAGAACGCACATGCTTAGACAATTGACACACTTCACATAAAGGAAAATCAGAAATTTTATTCAATAAATCAGGGTACATCTTTTTCATGTATTGAAAATTAGGATGTCCTAATCTATAATGCCAAAGAAGTGCTTTGTCTGACTTGTTTGTGGTTTGCCATGTAGGTTATGCTTCCTTCCTTCTTCCCTCGGGTTGAGTAACATGATAGAGGCCTGCATATGTCCTAACACTTAAAACATAGCCATTGGAATCAAATGTTACCATACATGTGAAGTCTCTAATAAGTCTGGAAACTAAAATAAGATTACAGGTCAGCTTTGGGACAAATAACACATTAGTTAGGCTTAATTCTGGTGACAATCTAACCATTCCAACGCCTTCTACTTCCATCAAACTTCCACTTGCTATTTTAACAATCTGTTCAACATGATAAGGTGTATAGCTAGAGAGAAGGGATAAATTACACGTCATATGATCATTGGCTCCTGAATCTACCAACCAAGTCTCGGAATTGGCAGAGTTGGTGTGCAAGGCTTTAAGAAGAGTACCTGATTGAGCCACTGCTCCCATATAGCATTTTTGTCAAGGTTGCAGGATGATATCATTTTCTGAATACTCTCCAACTGCTCTTTGCTAAACATCCCATCTCCTTAATTAGTCTGATTGGTATCTTCAGTTATAGCAGCAAATCCACATTGATTTCTCCCTTGTTTTGGTTTCCAGTTGGCAGGTTTGCCATGTATTTTCCAGCATGTATCCTTGGTATGGCCCGGCCTGTTGCAATGATCGCACCATGACTTGCCATTCCTTCTAGGTTTGTTTTCAAAGAACGTTGGTTTTCCTGCAATAAAAGCACTCCCCTCCGCGTTTGTTTCATGTTTATAGGAACTGTTAGTCAGTTGTTGCCTACTTTCTTCCCACCTAAGTTCAAAAAACACTTCTCGCATGGATGGTAAAGGCTTAGTAGCCATTATTCTGCTCATGGAAGAATCATAGATAGGATTGAGTCCCAAAAGGAGTTGATATATTTTGTCTTTCTCAACGATCTTCTTGGAGAGTGCAACATCAGCAGTGTTTACCACTCGTGAATGTCATAAAGATCTAGTTGTTGCCAATATTTCAGCAAGGTGTTGTAGTAGCAGGTCACATCTTTGTCCTCTTGTATGAGATCCTTCAAGATTCCCTTAATTTGGAATAAAGCTGCCGTGTTGTCTTCCTTAGAGAATGATTCACGAACTCTATCCCAAATTTCCTTTGCAGTGGAACACAACATGTAAGTCTCACCGATCTCAGGTGTCATGGAATTCACAAGCCAAGACATAACTTGGTTATTTTCTCTCTTCCATTTCTTATAATTTGGATCTGTGGAGGCCGGCTGTACAGCATCTCGCGTTCCAGTGAGGTAATCTTCTTTCCCACGGCCACATATAAACATCTTCATACTCCTGGACCAAAGAAGGTAATTTCCTCCATTGAATCTGTGTCCAGTAACCAACGGCGCTAGACTGTCATTGGGAATTACGGGAGCAGGATCTGGAGACTCTTGATTATTAGGATTTGGAGGCTGATGTGATGTTGAGGATGTCATATACTGGGAAGTAGTCTGGTAGGCCCTCATTGTGCTAAATTGAAATTTTGACGTGATTTGTTCAGGTCCTTGGATGAGAGCTTTGATACCATAAAGAAATATAGAATTTGAGAACTGTTCTTTTTATTTTCTCTGAATATCAGATCCTGATGAAGGTACACTGATATATAGATAGATGACTTCACAACTAACTTAGTCATCATATCTTCAGAAGATAAGATAAAATCCTAAAAACTACGAAACAGAATCCTAATCAACAAACAGATAAAATAAGCTCTAAGATAAAATAAACTAAACAAACTTCAAAAAGACTTAAAAAAAATCTAACTAATTATCAGAATTCTAATTAATAACAGCAACACAGATAATGATCAACATAAATCTGATCTTCATGATTCACATATCTTGATCTCTAACAACAGGTGGCAATGGTGGGATCCACACAATCCCAATGGGACCTGTGTAGCCTTCTAGAAGGTGATGATCAAACGATTCCAGCCCAAGTATGATCTAGATCATCCTATATTCATCTAGAATAGGTAACTAAAACTTTTGGAGCTAAAAATCTTGGAGCAAGAGATTACTCAGAGTTGAGGTGACAATGATCATCAGAAGCCAAGAGCAATCTGTTCTTGACATTTCTGTTCGAAACGCCAAAATCCCCTTAAAGTGTGTTTGTAATAATAAATTGGGATTTAATTTGTAAATCAAAGTGAATATTAAAAAACATGAAATGATTTATTTTTAAAGTTTCATGGATTTCAATACTTTAGATTTAGAAATTCTATTAAATGCCGTAGGATTTGTTGAGATTTGATATTAAACAAATAGTTTATTTCACCTTTCCTAACTTTTTTTATTTTACCTCTCTAAAGGATAAAATTGTAAAATAATAAAATCAATTCTATTTAGTTTCCTTATTTTCTCTGCCATATCAACTTATCAAAAAAACAAACAACCAGTAATAACAATGAACATTCACCGCGTTACGTTTTTACTATTCACTGATGACATGTGGCCATACCTTCCCAAGATATCCCCAAGCACCAGCTAGAGATACATTCAATTGCAACCCTCTAATCAAAGCATGTTGATTTAGTGCTTTATGATCAGACAAACATCCCAATGCCACCCAGAACTCATAATTGCCACCCTCAAGTAGCAAGGCTCCCATAGACATCTTCTCTGCCAGCTGCCTGCTAAAACAACTAAGTTGAGAGGAGAACAACATGAAGAAATTCATTAAACATAATCAGATTACATAGATCATACCATGAGTTTAGGTCTTGCTTGTAATTCTCGTTCAATGACGTAATAAGATCTGAAGTTACTGCAATGTCAGCATAAATATTTGCTTGCCATGGAGACAAGTGCAAGGCTCGTTGATATGAAAACCTAGCACGTTTTGAAGCCAAAAAGCAGGTCTTCCTCCAAGAAATGATAGAAGCATTGAAAGCTTCGTTATTAGATTCCAATTCTTGGGCCTCCTCAATCCAAGGATAACATCTTGCATATGAAAGCTACCACAGACCAAAATAAGATAGCATTAAATATTACATGAGCAGAGAAGAAAAGTTTGAGATTTGTCATGATACCAACATATTGACATGAATTTGTCATGCAATCAATTCAATCCAAAAACTTAAGCTGCTAGGTAAAAATAGATAGATGATTTTATATTTTCTAACACACCTCCATATATAAGAGCTTGTTGGAGTTAGAAGCTAGACAATGCACACGCCCCACCTATGTGTGCTAAAAAATTCCACAATATTTATTACAATATTATTATAATGGGGCGAAAAAGATTGAACTCTAAACCACATGGTTTAGAGCCTACGACCAAGTGGTTTAAAGTTCAATCATTGTTGCCCCCATTCTTCAAATAAAAAAGTTGAATTTAAGCATAAGATAACCAAAATAAAAAATAGGTGTGCAATATCCACACTTCCAAGCCCAAAAAAGATTCTCGTGTGAGAGGACTTGTCAAGAGATATAATAAAACCATTTGTGTGCCTTTGACCAACAACTTAAGTTTTTGGGACAGTTGGTTGATTGACAAAAATAATCCAGAAAATAGAAAAATTTTAAAACAATGAAAACTTTTAAAACTGAAAAAGCAATGATACCTGAATATCACCATGTAGTTTCCAAATACACGAGATATTCCTTAAAAAATAAGCACTTGTGCTTGCAACCTCAGATGCTTCCTGCAGTCAGTTCAACGATGTTGCCCACATGTTGCCAAAATGGAAGAGTTTAACTTAATAATGTAAAAATTATCAAAAAATAATTCGAAGAGAAAAAACCTCTAATAATGTAGACCCCCACTTATATGCTCCCACATTAATGCAATCTTTTGCCAAACCAAGCAGCCCCAAAGCAAGTCCATATTGTGCAGGCACACAATGCGGTGAAATGTCCAGAGCTTGTTGAAATTGTTCAATTCCCTTCATGTAGAAAGTCCCCAGGGCGATTTTACACATATCTTTAATAAATAGAAACATCTAGACACTAATCAAACAACTTCATATATTCATCAGATGCAGTACACTCTCAGATTTTCACGTATGGATTTAAAGACAAACAGAACAGCTTATACCATCTTCTGCACTTCCTAGTTGCTCTGATTTGATAAATATAAAAAATCAAACATAAATCCTGCCATAACAAGAAGGGGAAAAAAAATTCCATAGCAAGGGGGTAGGAAAATACTAAATTCAAAATCCCAGATACTGCTAAATCAAAGCCCCTACCATTTCTTTTTTCCCTGCACAACTGCTTGTCATCCCCTTTCTACCTTTAATTACTTGATTTAAAAGGGCATACTCCAATGCACAAGGCTTCTCGACTTGCAAGTGTAGAGGCGAGGGTCGATTGTACGCAACCTTACTCTTATATTTTTGCAAAAAATATTTCCTAGACTTGAACCTGTGACTTTCCAATCACAAGGAGTAAGTTACCGCTGCTCCAAGGCTCGCCCTCACCTTTAATGACTTGACTTATAAAAATAAAAAAGTAAATACAGGCCCAGCCAAATTTCTATTCAGCCATGGTCAAGACAAATCAGTGTTCACATCATATGCACCATATCAAACAACCCTCTCTATCCTGCATAGAAGGTGGTCCGACATGTCATATAAGCTTTTGCATTTTGTTGATGTTAAGAACCTTGAGCCAAATTTTTTGTGCTTTTTATTTTAATTCCACTTTAAAGTGGGGAGCGGTGAGGATCGAACTTGTAACCTTATAGTCACTCAAGCTCTGATACCATGTAAAGAACCTTGGGATAAACTCCACATTAGTTGGCTCATACAACCAATGTGGGACTATATATCTTAACACGCCCCCTCACACAAGAGCCCATTGGGCTTGAAGAGTGGATGATGCAATAGGCCCAGCCTACCTGTGCTAAGAAATTCCACAAGAGAAAATGGGAGGCGGGGAGGTTTGAACCCGGGACATAAGGCTCTGATACCATGTTAAGAACAGTTGAAATTATTGATATAATGTGTGTAAAATAGAACGTAGTAAAACCTATTTATACTAAGAATTAGGTCAAGTACTAGTGTAGCACTAATAGTACAAGCCCAAACTCACTAATACAATAAAACACCTAATCCTAGTTAAATAAGGAAATAAATTAGAAAAACATAATGAAATTAGGGAACAACTCCTAAGTTTGCTTCCTCAATTAAATAACTAATTGATTCCATAGTGTATTATGAAGATCTTGGAAGATATTTTAAGATACAATGAAAGGTGAAGATATTCTAACATTTTCCCTCATGCTAAAGCTTGTGATAAATAAACAAGCAAAAAGAAAATAGTCCTAAAAATAATGTTGGTCCTTTAAATCATTTTTGGAAAGACAACTAAGGGATGCTGGAGAGGCAAGATGCATGATGAGCACTATTGGAAAATAGCTTAGCAAAAATCGTTGGAATGACACCAACCAGAAGAGCTGGTTGAAATGTTGTATGGCCGATGCTGAGGAAGAAACATCATTGGAAAGATGTACTGTAAAAAGGACATGTTTTGAAGACTCACGGAAGAGATAGCAGAAGTGACATAGAAAGACGCGGATAGACTAAAAAACCCTTAAATTTTTTCTGTTACACATTTAAATTTAGGACAAAATTGACATTTTGCCTTATGACAGCAATATGGCCACAAATACGATCGCAATGGCCACTATTGCCTTCCGGTGCGGCGTGGTGCGGTTTCTTGAGGTGAGGCACCGCAACTCACATACGGCGCGGCTCGCGGCGTTATTGCGGCGCAATTAACTACTATGTTTTAAACTAGTTTTGAAATTTTCCAAACACCCCCTTAGGCCAAGTACTAGTACAGTACTACTAATACAAGCCCATGCCCAATTATACAATAAGACTATTAACATTAATTAAATAAGGAGACAAATTAAGAACCACAATGAAACCAAGAAACAACTCGTAAGATTGCTTCTTCAATTATAGAACTAAGCCAACTAACTGATTCCACAATAAGTTATAAAGATCTTCTATGATATTCTACAATATTTGAAGATATATACAAGATACTCTGAGATATTCTAACCTGTTATAACAGTGTTTGGTAAAATGCAAATCAATAGTAACATGTTAAAGAGATAGAACAACCAATAACCACCATGGACAGAAGTAAGCAAATAATACAACTTTTTTAGCTATACACTGAAAACAAGCAGATAAGTTTCCATGTTCTCTTGAATCACTGTGTTAAGCTCCAACTAACATGATCAAATTAATACTGTCAAATGTCAATCATGCCATAGGAATTAGGAAAAAGGCAGATTACATACATCTTCCAGTCATATTACCGTCATTGCATCAAACTGAAGGAAAACAAATGGAAGGAGGAAATTCAACCATTGACAACAAGAATTTTGGACAAGAAAGACATCAGGATAATGACTAATGACTAGTGAAGTTACCTTTTTAAATGAACCAAGTGTCAAAGAGATATTTCCACTTTCAACCAAAGCAAAGACCATCTTATTATCCAACTCAATTGCACGGCCATAAGACTGATGGAGTATCAAAACAGTGGTAGAGTGATCAATCATCCAGATGATATAAAAGGAATCGAAGCAAAGAGTTACCTTTACGGCAGCAGTAAACCTGCCCAGTCGCTGATAAGCAAGGCCCAAAGCCTATAGAAAAATTAATATATATTTAAAAACCGTAAAAATGGAAATCCAAAGAAAGGAAAAAGAAGTGAAATTACTTCCCACAAATCAGCACATGTAGGATAGCCTCGTATGGCATGTTGAAGACTCTGAACAGCTTCAGACCATTTCTTTTGATGAACCTGTTAAGTTATGAATAAAAATTAATAAATGCCAAGTGTCAATCTAATATAATCGACGATAGATTTTATGAGGATATAGTCCAAGGTCAACAGAATTTCAACAAAATTGAAAATTAAATTATTTGATCTAGTTTGTTATGAAAATGTTACAGAATGCAGTTGTTAAGTGGGTCGATAATTTAGCTGAAGTTCTTTAAATTGTTAATTGAAGAATGTTTACCAAAGTTTTCAATTTATGGAGCAAGGGGGTTAAGTTCACTAAAAAGATGGATGTGGGTGTAATCTACACAAGAGAAGGCGTAACTGTGATTCTGCCTTAGTAGATTTATAGAGAAGCAAAAGAAATCGGATGAAAAAACCTGCAGGAAGCCCAATCTGCGGAAAGCCCAGAAAGCCCTCGGTGATATTTCAGAAGCTTCCCGGCACACCGCCACCTCCAAACTATCTTTACCTCTTTGGTCAAGTAAATTGCACAGAGCTTCCTGATATGAAAAAAATCCAGAGTTATGTGAGACGAAGCTGAATTATCACTTCCATTTCCATAATGATAAGGCAGTTATTAAACTTTAAAATGGAACTGAAGAGAAAAGAATAGGCTTACCCCAGAATCGAAATCATCAGGATTGAGAGCTACAGCTCGTTGGTAACATTTAACGGCTCTCGGAGTATCAAGGGAAACGCGGCCATAATAATGGCCCAGAAATTTGAAAGATTCTCCATTCTTAGGGTTCAATTTGGCCGATAGAACAAAATGTTCAGCAGCTTTTTCCTTGGTTTCCTTCGCTTCTCCTCCTTTTTCCCATAAGAATAAGCCCTGAATCATCGTATACATATATTTTTTTAATAAGTGAATAACTCGAATAAAGAAGTAAAGAACGAAAGCATACAATCTCAAAATGTAGCGAGGCGTCATCTGGGGAATCCTGCAAGCGTCGGAAGAGATGTTCTGCTCCTTCTTCCTTCTGAGAGAATAAAATAAAATAAAAAATAAATAAATTGGAATAAGTTGCCAGCACCGATGCTGATTGATGAAAGAAGCAGAGACGTAGCACCACACACACGGAAGAACTGAGAACAGGAAACACAAAAGATAAGAACGCACCATGTGAGTTTGGGAGTCCATCAGGGTTACGGGCCGAAGTCTTGGAACTCGAAGGACACTGACTGCAGAACCAATTTACATGAAGCAATACTCGTCAGACGTTACCAAGAAATTGAAAAGAATGATAAAATGTATTTTTGGTATAACATGTAATACTTATTTTTAATTTTTAATTTTATATATACTTTTTTTACTTTATATATAATCATTCTTAATTTAATTTTTTTTTTGGTAATCAATTTAATCTTTATTCATATTAATGTTGTAAAATTTTGCATAAATTATAATGCATTGAAGTAAGTAATAAAACTAAAATCACATATACAAGCTATAATTTTTTTTTTCAATATTTACATTTGAAAGTTATTTTAATTTAATGCATATATATATAAATATATATATATATATATATATATATATATTATAATAACTTTATATTGAATTCTTGATATTATCATAATAATATATAATAGGAAATAAATTAAAATTCATAACATACATAGGAATATTTTTTACAGAAATTATAAAAAAATTAAATAAAAAAAGGATGATAAATATAACGTGCAAATAAATTTATATCATAATATAACATCACAATTACATATTAATATATAAATTAAGCGAAAAATATTTCTGCAATTAATGCAGATAAGTTATCTGTATTTATTCCTAGAACGACGTCATTTTGGTATTGAAATCTTAAAAAATTTAAATATAAAGATTATTATAACCCTGAAATAAATTAAAATTACAAAAATACCATTATTTTCGTCCCGAAACGACGACCTATTGGGCTTACTGCAGATAACTTATCTGCAGTAACTGCAGAAAAAGCGAACCCATAAATTAATAACATACAGAATAATTTATATATATATATGGCAAAATGATTTGTAATGTGACTGCATATAAGCATTGGTACAGTCACGTAAAAACTACGTCATTTTGGGTGGGATAAAGGAAGTTCTTGTTTAAAATTAATTATAGAAAATAAAAATATTATATTTATTTTCACCTTTGTAAGGTTATGATTCCTCATATTTAATGTTTTATATTTATTTTCACCTTTGTATGGTTATTATTCCCCAAATTTAATGTTTTTACATTATAAAACAACGTCGTATTGGGCTTACTGTAGATAATTTATCTACAGTAACTAGCTTATCTACAGTAACTGCAGAAAAAGCGAACTCATATATATATATATATATATATATATATATATATATGGATAGGATATTCTACCTATCATTTTTCTGCCTACCACTTTAAAACACCATTAGATCATAATCTTAACTAACATTTATCTTTCTCTCTCTTCTTCTTTCTCTCTCTTCTTAAGATTATAATCTAATGATGTTTTAAAATGATAGGCAAAGGTAGCTAGAAAATATGGTAGGTAGAATAACTTATCCTATATATATATATATATATGGGTTCGTTTTTTCTGCAGTTACTGCAGATAAGTTATCTGCAGTAAGCCCAATACGACGTCGTTTTGGGGCGGAAATCATGGTACTTTTGTAATTTTAATTTATTTCAGAGTTATAATAGTCTTTATATTTAAATTTTTTAAGATTTCAATACCGACGTCGTTTTGGGAATAAATGCAGATAACTTATCTGGATTAACAGCAGAAACATTTTTCCTTATATATATATATATATATATATTTATATATAAGTTTAATATTTTTGTTTTTAGTACAAAATTTTTTTTATCTATCTGCTCATATAAAAGTAAATGAGTCTCGTTAATCTTTTCTCTCTTATCTTTAAATAGAACCTACTTATTTTTATATGAGTATAACAGATAAATTTTTTCTATAGCAAAAACAGATATACTTTAGGAATAATATAGTAAGTATCTCGAGAAACTTCAAAACTATATCATTTTGGCAATTGTGAGAATCAATGGAGCATATTTTATGAATTTTTTTATTTATTTATGGCTTTAATGTTTCCATAGTAATGTAAATTAGTTATCTATATTCGCTCTCAAAATAGTGTTGTTTTGGGTTGAAAAATTAAAAAATTATAATGAAAAAGACTATTATAACATGAAATAAATTATATTTACAAAAATATTTTGATTTTCGTCTCAAAACGACGTCCTTTTAGGTTCAACGTAAATAAGTTATCTACATTGACTATAGAAAAGTGAACCCTTTATTTATTATATAAATTTTACCAAAACACATTTCCTAAATTCTCTAAATTCTTAATTCTTTTTTAATGTTTATCATTTAAAGATAAGAGAGAAAAAGAAAACATGAGGTTTATATGGTTTTATTTATATATAAGAGATAAAATTATTTCCTATAACATAAGAAATACTAATCTCATATATATAGAGAGAGGGAGGATCCACTTATTACCAGTAAAGTATACCACCTTTACAATTAATTTGATCACCGTTGGATTAAACTTAATTCTAATGGCTCATGATTAATTCTTATAATCTTAATTTTTTACCTTTCATTCTCTCACATCTTCTCTCTAGGTCTCCGTATTTGATCTTTTTTTTTCTAAGGTTGACAACAGATGTTAGCCATGAAGATGGTTTTCTTTTTGGTAAATTTATACGTGAAAGGAACTACACATAATCCTATTATTTTTGGACCATTTCTCTTTCCACGTCAACATCTCAACAGCATTATTGTTCTTATTCTTATTATTATTATGCTCTCTTAGCTTAGATGGAAGGTGAATAAAATAAGGGTTTAAGTTTTCTTATGTTGTAGGATTGTAGGAGATAAAAAAAGTAGAGAGAAGTTAAATGTGGGTCCCATATTTTATATTAAAAAAGAAAAGAAAAATTAATTGGCACGGAAAACGAATTAGTGTAGGAAAATGATGTACTCTTATGTAGCATAAGAGTAATATTTCCCATAAAATAATACCGTGAGCTAAGCCGTGAAAGCATGTCCAGTGATCGTCATCCACATGGCGTAAATAAGAACTTTGCCTAAATCTAAATCATTCTCTTATTTCTATGATTTATAATTAGCATACCGATATTGTTATATCTACTACCACTACTAGAAAAATCCTATATAGCGAGGGAATTGTTATGCAAATTTCATCGCTAATTGCGAGGGAATTTGCGAAGAAAAGTAATAGCGAGGATGAAATTAGTGATGGAAATTTCATAGCAATTTCTTCGCTATATAGAATTTTTCTAGTAGTGTACAGAGCATGATCTTTTACTGTTATAATTATTTTTATTTGAATAACAAATAAAATCAGCAAGCTTCCTACTCGCCTTTTCACTGCTGTAGTATACCTGCATCTTGTACATAAAATCGAAAAATAAAATGGAAGAACATTGCGAGTTGTGAACCTTTTCGTAGAGATTTTCGCCCTTTAAAATTTCTTAAACATGTTTTTCGGCCTTTTCACGGTTTTTAATTACATGTTTCAAATAAATCATGTTTCGGAGTACCTTGAAATCGAAACAATAAATCGAGATGGATCGTAAAAACGGATTCAACGTCTCTTGTGAACTTTAGAAAAAAAGGATCAAATACGGAGACCTACTGGAGAGAGTTGTGAGAGGATGAGAGAAGATGTGAGACAATGAAAGGTAAAAAATTAGTATTATAAGGATTAATCGTGAGCCATTAAATTTAATTTTAATACAACTGTGATCAAATTGGTTGTAAAGGTGGTATACTTTAGTGTGGTAAGTGGATCCTCTTTTATATATATATATATATATATATATATATATATATATATATATATATATATATATATATATATATATATATAGGATCCTTTGGCATCAGTGTTAAATTTGAAATTTGACACATCATCTGAGAGCCATTAGATCAAAAAAGATCAATGGTATCAAATGCTTACAAATCAGAGTCGTTGATCTTTTTTGATCTAATGACTCTCAGATGAGATGTCAAATTTTAAATTTGACACTGGTGTCAAAGGACCTTATATATATATATATATATATATATATATATATATATATATATATATATATATATATATATATATATATATATATATCTTATGTTGCATAAGATAAACATGCTTTCCACACATACAAAGTGGAGGTGGGTCCCACATGTATTTTCACTCTCCTTTTGCATGTGGGTCCCACTTGTAATTTTATTTCTATAACATGATATAATTATTTTCCTACAACATAAGATAAATATAATCCATATCTATTATTCTAAAGGAATTCCATTTGTTGGAAAGTTTTGCCATGTGTCACTTCCTCCTTGCATCTCATATTTCTGTTCACACCATACCCACTTAAAAACTTTCCTCCTTTGGCAAATTCGAATTATTAAATATTTTAAACATTTTAAAATACGAAAAAAATGTTGAATTGAGTTTTGATTCAATTGAGTTGCGGTGGCAGACATTTCATTCAATTTCCAAATGTCTCAGTCCTCATTCAATGTCTCACTTAGTTGTTTCATTTAATGATGATTTTTACATTGGAATTGAGAGGCTCTTTTAAAATTTGAAATTCAAACTGATCATGATTTTTCTTTTTTCTTTTTTTTTTGTAATTAACTGATCATGATTTCTACATTGGAATGATCATCTCTTTTAAAATTCAAAATATGATTTTGATTTAAATTTTGAAATATTTTGATTTCATTTTTTAAATTCAAATTGTAATGGTGGGAAAAAAAAAATTAAGGTGTTTAGGTGGCAGACAACTCTCATTTAATCTCTGACTGCTTTTCTTTTGTTGCTTGGGTTTATAAGAAGGAACGTGGGAATAGAAATTTTGTTTTTCCCTCTGGTATTCCATTTTTGCTAATTGTTTCTTTTAGAGGAATCGGTTCTTTCTTTTCTTCCTTTTTCGTTCTCCCCTACGAAATGTTTTCAACCTATGATTTTATAAAGGATCTTAATCCTACCAAGGAGGACTGGAGGATTAAGGTTAAAGTGGTTCGATCTTGGAAGGTTCCTAATTTTCAACGTAAGGATTTTGACGACAATGTTGAGATGGTTCTTTTGGATGAACGGGTAGTGCTGGTTGTTCTTCCTTTGTTCTTTATAATCTATTGTCACTTTGTCTTTGTTGTCGTA